ATATCCTGCCCCTGTATTTGGTGGGGAAAAAATGTTGCAAAACAGCATGGTTGCAGGGATCGATTTGACCTGTCCAAGAAGATCAGCTGGTTTGATTTCCAGGGACTAGTGTAATGTTAATTTCTTGTTGGAAAGCTCCTCAAAATGCTGGAAATAGCTTATCTGAGCTTCAAAAAATCCAGACCCCCCCCAGACCCCTCTAGAGGCTCGCACCTTCGGTGGTACACTCAGTTGTCTCAGAGTCCTAGTTAAGCATGGCCTGAGCTGCTGCCCTATGACGTATACTTATTAGATAAACCATGCATATATTATGCTGTAGGTAGCTGCAGTGATACAGATAGGGCTGTAGCGAGGGAGATATTTGGGGGGGGGGGTTAACCCCAACATTTTTAGAATCAACATATTCAGAAAATCGGGTTGGCCTTTCGGAAAATTACAGCAATAATAGTAGAACAAAATTTTATAAAATTGTATTATAATATTGTATTATATAGAAAATATTATAAAATTGTATTGTCACTATAAATTGTAAGCAAATTGTAAATTTCGACATACTAAAACGCTTTTTTCTGACCATCCGCATTCTGTCAAAACTTCCCAAAGTCCAGGAAATGGCATTTCAGAGACTCGAAATTAAAAAATTTCCTCGGGCCTCCGCTTCGTTTTCTGCCCCAATAAACAAAACTCCCTACCGCACTGCTTCTGTAATATGTCTGTGCATAGAATATGCGTATCTTTGTTTGTAAATTGCGTCTTCATTTTCCGAATAGCAAACACCTTCGTGGCTGAGTATGCCATGATATATTCGGAAATATTTTTCGTCATTCGGAAATTTTTGGCCTACCCCCCCCCCCCATGCTAGCTACGGCCCTGAATACAGACTTGCCGACTGGAACTTCTCCAGGTCCCCCGCTAATTATGTCCTCTCCAGTTACACATCCTTACAAAAGGCCCTGAACCAAATGTTATACCTCATAGCAATATGTATTATCAAGAGCAATGCGTGAAGCTAGAAAACGCAACGTTATATTTCCACAAATCTGACTCTGCTTAAAGCGTCGGCGACTGTGTTTTTAGTTCTTGCAATGTGCTTTAACATGTACTGGAACTCTTGTATTTTATCGACCCAACGCCATAGCCGACCACTGTACGTGTTTTTTGGTCAGCGTCAAAAGCTATTTCAGTGACTGGTGATCCGTATACAAATCAAACTCTCTGGCTAACAAATATGGGCGATACGCTTTGAGAGTTGAGAGCTTCGATGTCTGCCAAACATTCCTTTTATGTGACGGAATAGTTTGTTTCAGCTTTCGTTATTCTTCCCCCGAAAGCTACTGGTCTTCGTTGTCCTGACTTATCGTCTTGTTCTAAGTAGGACCCAACTGCATAGTCAGAGGCCGGCGTCGCGGGCGAATCGATCAGGTAACTTTAACGTTACGGACGAGCATAGAATTTCTTTCAATTCAATTCAATACACATTGGCACTCGTGTGTCCACAAAAATTCTGGCTTGTTTAACAAGTTGTGTAGTGGTACCGCCACTTTTGCGAAATCCTTTACAAATATTAATCGTCTCCAGAACGTGCAAACTCCTAAGAACCGGCGAAGTTCTGTTTCATTCTCGGGGGCCTTCCAATTGCGAATAATTTCCAATTTCTCAGGAAGTGGTCGCATTCCTGACTTGTCAATAACGTGTCCCAGAAACTTCACAGAACTGGTAGCAAACTGACACTTTTTACCTGGCAGTTTAAATCCTGAATCCCTGATCATCTGAAATAAAATGTTCTTCAAAGGTAGGATGAAAACAAATCACATCGTCCAAATATGCCATTATGTCCTCGGTGTCTAATAGCTGTACCATATCTTCTATCGCTGATTGAAAGGTCCCTGGTGCACCTGCAAGTCCAAACGATATTCTGCAATACTGGTATTGTCCATATAGTGATGTGAAAGCTGTCCTCTTTGTCCTCATCTGCAATCTCCACTTGATAGTATCCTGAGGTCATATCTACAGAGGTGAAAAATGAAGCCCCTGCTAAACGGTCCAGTGTCTCAGTAATGTTAAGCAAGGGGTAACTGGTTACATCTGTGACTTCATTTAGTTTTCTATAATCCACACAAATTCTTAGGTCTCCGGAAGGTTTTGGCACAAGGACTAATGGATTTGACCATTCAGATGACGATTTCTCAATGACACCATCATTAAGCATCGTTTTCAGATCATTTATTACTTCCTCTCGATATCCAATTGGGATTCGTCTTAAAAGCTGTTTGATGGGGACAGCCTCTTGCTTTAGATGGATGTGATGTTTCACTCCGAGCTTGCATTTTCCTAAATCTCTCTGTCTGTTCTTAGAGAAGATGTCAGAGTATGACAGTATCAGTTTCTCTAATTGCTTTGACTGGAATGAATTCAACTCATTCTTGCTCACACCAATTCCGCACCAATTTTACTTAACATACTTGTTGCACAACCATGATCTGTTCTGACATTGGAAACAGTAGATCTTTCTTCCCTTGGATTAAGATGAAGTGGTTCTGACATGTCCTCGATCTCTGAAATGATCCCGGTTCTTTGACTTTTGTATAGCGTGATAGGATTAGAAGTCAAATTTACAGCTCGAACCAAATTAAAAAGGTCCATCTTTTCCTCCTTCTACTGCTGTTTTGCTCAATAATACTCCACCTGGTGTTTTAGTTGGTTCAAATAAACTACTTCCAAAACTCTTATCTTTGGTATGCATGGGGATTATTGCTTGGCGCCGAGCTGGTAGTTCCACAGTGCAATTGGCTACAACTGGTGAATGGTTGTAGTCTTTCACCATACCAACGTTTTTAATACCCATTAGTGGTATCCCTGCGTCGTCAAGCCACAATTTGTTATCTGCAATACCCCATGAAGTAGTATAATGACTTTCTATAAAGTCTGCTCCCAGAACCGACTCTTTAAGGTTGTCCACAACCAAAAATTTCCATCTAGATTTTAACGACCCTAAACTAAGATTCACGTCATCAGTTTCACCTTGAATTGTAATACGTTGGTTAGTTATTGAAACTAATGCTATGCAGGATTCTCTAACTTCTAAACTTGGAACTGTTGCACAAATTAAACTAACTTCTGCCCCAGTGTCTACTAGAAAATTTGTTCTGAGCCCATTTACAATTCCTTCCACATGATAGCTTCCCCTCTGTGCTCTGGTGGTCTGTACTGTATTAATCTTAGTTTGTGGCATGGGGCTTCTATATGGGTACACGACTCCTTTCTGACTCTTTAGGGCTGAACCGGGGGTTTGCGGCCTGCCCCTCCTTCGTTTATAGAAGGACAGTTGCGTGCCCAATGTCCACGACCATTACATGCCGTTCAGATATCGGAGGGTTTGGGACCAGGCCTCTGTTTCCCTGGAAATCTCTTACCTCCCTTTTTAACTGCTGCAGCTTGGAATGCACGCTGATTCTTGAGGATTTCATCTAAGTTGTTTTCCAGACTAGGTTGTTGGTGTGCCACCTCTTCTACATTTTGTGCACCGTCCACATGACTCTCCAGTTTTCCTGCTCTCTGTGCAGCAGAAACCTTTCCGGCAACACCTTGTTCTTCCTGCAAGGTGAATATTTGCTTAAGGACGCTTTCCACAGATTTCTTGAGTAAATCATCTTGACGACGTATCAAAACTTCTGTCAGTTCTTTCCCCAATCCATTTACGCTCCTTCTTGCTGGCATGCTAGATTTTCTAATCTGCATTTGTATCTGCAGGCAATGGATCTACTATAGGTGGACGGTATGCTCTTTCGTACGACAATCTCAAATCTGACAAATAAGAATGTAATATTTCACCGTCCTTTCTATTTCTGGCATTAAATTCTTTCTTATATTTTAACAACACCAAGCCTCCTCGTATCTTTCTTTCAAAGCCTGTGAAAGCTCTTTGCAACTCTTCCTTACCGTGTCCGATTGTTGATGATAAAATGCCTTTGCATCTTCTTTCAAAAACACTGCCAAGTATTGTCCAGCTTTCACAATTCACATCCGACCATTCGTTCACAGCAACAAATATTTCAAAATCGCGTAAAATTCTCGAATGTCCTCCTTTCCTGAGACCTTGTTTTCCGGAAGAACCGTCTTGCTCGATCCCACAACTGCGACCAGTGTAATAGCAATACGACGAATTGTATTGTAACGATTTAATAAAGGTTATTACATGTAAAATCAGTCGAAAAACAACTAGTCTAGGACCTGTATATGAGTTGGTACGCATTTCATTTACAACAGGTAATCTCAACTGTTTTAGGGTAAAATGACCATGGCGGTCAACATGTTATATGTGCCAAAACCTGAATCCGGGACGAAAGTCCTGAAAATGACCCCGTCTTGAAACGGCAGTGCCGACAGAGCTCTAACTTCCGAAAAGCAAAAGCGACAGCCTTTCTGAAGAACTGATAGTGTTTAGAAGGGTTGCTTTTAGGGGTGGTTATTGGAAGGAAAAATTTGTGTAAGTATAATATTTTACAAGAAAATGACTATTCATCACCCCAGGTAAATTGCTAATTATGCAGAAAATAACTAATATACATGGCAGAAATTGAATATCTTTATTTCCTAAAAAAATTATCATGGGATTTTAAGCTATGCTTAATTTAATATAATCATTGTAGTTTTCATAAGGATAGTCATTGTTTTCTACAAATATAATATATTTTATTTCACTTACACCCCACGAAAACACGATTTCGGCCATATTTTACCGTCTTGTTTGCTTTATATCGCCGTGTCTCGCAAATAACATCCAGTTGTTGTACTTTTACATAATGGCAAATGGCCAAAGAATATTTCAACCAAGTTTCGGCAAGTTTTGAAGCAGTGCAGTGTATTTTATCTTCGATATTGCGTCCTTCGATGTTTCGTCCAATATGCTGCCATTTTAATGGCTCGCCGGATTCTCTGCCCGCGGATAAATGCCACTTCTTCGTTTTCGTATGTATTTAGTTTACAGTATTCAAAGTTATTGTAGAATAGTCCTAATCGAAAAATTGGAAACATTACTTGTACTGTACTTGGAAGGAAAAAACCTCCCACAACAAATTCAGGATTGGAATAAAAACAAATCATTTGAAATTCCTCGTGGCTACTTGACAGGGGGGGGCGAATATTTTCACGAAACGTTGTTTGCCAACAACCTCGTTCCCAGGCTCTTTGCTCTTGGGAAGCAAAGACCCTGGTCGAAGCTGGTCACGTGAACCCCCAGATTTTGGGGGTAAATTGAATTTGACCTCAGGGAGGGGTAGTAGAGGAGTCTGTTTGTTGTGTTTAGAAAATTGCAACTTTATGTGTTCGGGTGATAAAAATGTAATTTGCAACAAGAGATTGTGAAAGGAACTGTTTTAAATTGTAC